GTAGAAGCGGGAGGGCTGAAGCATAGCGTATGGGGAGTAGCCCTCCCGTGCATCATCATTAGCATCAATATAATAATGGCATTTATTTCGTCAAACGTATAGAAATTAAGGAGTACAAAGAAATAAAGAAAACTAATGAAAACTGGAAAAAATACAATAAAATAAAAGTTAGGTCAAGAGCAATGCTTCAGTGATAGTTTGGGTTTTGTACCAATTATAACTCCGACTGGATCAAATAGCTCTTTAGGAATTTAAATAGCCCGCAGCACCTCAATCATTTGCAGATAAAACAGCCAAGGATGTAGAATACACCGTCTGAGAAGAGAAATCCTCGTTCAGATGTCCATTGAAATGCATGAGAGAACTTCTATTTCCACAACTGCACCAAGCTCATTGTGACAACAGGTACACTATCAGCATGACCACAGCCAACACATGGCTTTCAAGTCCCGTTGGATCCAGCATGAACAACGACGTGGCACCGCGTCAGGACTGCTTGTTGTGTGGCTAACAATACCACGAGCCATCTGTGAGCAGAGCGGTGAACACCAAACTCTGTCTGACAAAAACACGGGAGCTGTTTCTGGAGCCTTTCTAAGCAGATGTTCAATCCAAAATGAAATCATTCTGCACGTTTCTGCACGATGATGTCTCCTTTCAAAGTGAAAAGCGCTTCAACTTTAAATCCTGATACTTATACAAACACCTCACACTAACTTACTATCTAACTACTTAACACACTTTCTACTTCACATGATTCTGTTACTATCAGCAACAAACAGACTCACTTACTCAAAACATCTAAGTGACTAAACAAACTGAACAAAATATGACTCTTATTTTGAAAATCTCACTTCAGTCTTATTGTGAAAGTCTCCCCTAACTGATCATAGTAAGACTCTTATTGTGAAAGTCTCCCCTAACTGATCATAGTAAGACTCTTATTGTGAAAGTCTCCCCTAACTGATCATAGTAAGACTCTTATTGTGAAAGTCTCCCCTAACTGATCATAGTAAGACTCTTATTGTGAAAGTCTCCCCTAACTGATCATAGTAAGACTCTTATTGTGAAAGTCTCCCCTAACTGATCATAGTAAGACTCTTATTGTGAAAGTCTCCCCTCAGACTCTTATTGTGAAAGTCTCCCCTAACTGATGATAGTAAGACTCTTATTGTGAAAGTCTCCCCTAACTGATCATAGTAAGACTCTTATTGTGAAAGTCTCCCCTAACTGATCATAGTAAGACTCTTATTGTGAAAGTCTCCCCTAACTGATCATAGTAAGACTCTTATTGTGAAAGTCTCCCCTCAGACTCTTATTGTGAAAGTCTCCCCTAACTGATCATAGTAAGACTCTTATTGTGAAAGTCTCCCCTCAGACTCTTATTGTGAAAGTCTCCCCTCAGACTCTTATTGTGAAAGTCTCCCCTCAGACTCTTATTGTGAAAGTCTCCCCTAACTGATGATAGTCAGACTCTTATTGTGAAAGTCTCACCTCAGACTCTTATTGTGAAAGTCTCACCTCAGACTCTTATTGTGAAAGTCTCACCTCAGACTCTTATTGTGAAAGTCTCACCTCAGACTCTTATTGTGAAAGTCTCACCTCAGACCAGAGTCCTGCACGGGTCTGATTTTCAAGACCCGCTCCCGCCCCGCACCCGCGACGTGCAATACCGAACCCGCCCCGCTACCCGCCACATATTGCCAATTAGTTCCGCAACCCGACCCGACCCGTCGGCACAAGATCCGCAACCCGACCCGAACCCGCATAGCCTATGAGCAGTGAAAACGTGCAATTATTAACACACGCAGTTTCATATTTGTCTCAGAAAGCGTGGGATGTTGGTTATTTCCTCCATCTAGGAACCAGAAGCCTCCAGACGTTGGATTTCCCTCTTGAGGAAGTGTTATTGAAAATGCTGTATTCTCCGCTAGAGAGCTTCACCTCAGCCATTTAGAATGTGGCGCGCACAGCAGCAGATTGATGCGCTGCAGAGGTTATGATTATGCGCGGCCCCCGCGGGGGAGAGGTCTGAGGATTTTAAACATTAAACTAAATTATTATTATTTTAATATATTTATTATGCAATACCCGCGACCCGACCCGCATCATCTTTGTTTTACCCAGAACCGAACCCGGAAAAAAGCGTTTGAAAAAATACCACCCGCGAATCACCTTTTTTGCGGGTCACCCATCGGGTACCCGCGGGTACCCGACGGGTGACCCGCGGGTACCCGACCCGATGCAGGACTCTGCCTCAGACTCTTATGATGAAAGTCTCCCCTCAGACTCTTATTGTGAAAGTCTCACCTCAGACTCTTATTGTGAAAGTCTCCCCTCAGACTCTTATTGTGAAAGTCTTCCCCTAGCTGATTATTTCATATTGAAAAACTCTATTATTGTATTTGTCATATTTGTATTGTACTTTTTGTTTTATATATTTAGATTGTTTTCTAAACCTTTCCCTTTGTTATGTTTCTAATAGTTCTATATGTACAACTTCATTCTCCTTACTTTGTTTATGAATGCACCATTATGTACCGAAGCAATGTCCTTGTATGAATACGCCTTTACTTTTGGCACTAAATCTAATTCTGATGTTGAAAAATCACAGTGTATAGAAACCAAATTAACGTTATACGTTATAGGGTACAGTCAAAGCTAAGTCACAAACTCTGTCTGACAATAACACAGAGGCTGCTTTGGAGCCATTCAATGCATGTGTCTATTAAACATAACATGTCTGCTTACCTCTCGAAAGTGCACAGCTCTTCCGCTTTGAATCCTGCTAAACTGAACATATTGCGCAAACCTAACCCTAACCCTAATTAAACCTCTTGTATAAACATTCCCCCTTAAAGGTGGGGTCGGTAGTTTTGGAGAAACCAGCTCGAGTGCGCTAGAACTTGAAAATACACAGCGGGAAAGAATCTGCCACTTCCTCACAGAGCCCCTCCTCCAACACACACGAACGCGCACATGACCAATGAGGGCACGAGATCAGTTTGTGCCCAGATGGAAGGCTGACAGGCAGGTAGGCCATCCAGTTACTTTAGCCGGGCCGGCTATCGGGATGTTAAGAGCATTCCATGGAATATAACAACAAGTGTATCTCGAGCCGGTTTCTCAAACTTACCTACCCCACCTTTAAGAGCATGTTTGAAATCGTTTTTACAATATTTTTGTTCTAAATTCTCCTTCCTAATTCTTCTTACTTTTGTTTGATATACGCACCATTATCAACCAAAGCAATTTCAAAGTCTTTCTGACAATGAAATCTGCATTGAGCCATTCAACGCAGATCTATAATCAAAAATAAAAGATACGGCACATTTCTGCACAGCTCTTCCACTCGATACAGGCACCATTATGCACAAATCCTTGTCTGTGTGAACCTGACAATCAACCTGATTCGACTCTGAAAAATCTACGTTTTTACAAAAGCAACACAAAACACACTTTGATACGTTGCATGCTACAGTGGCTCTACAGCATTCATCTCAAAGCCAAGTCCCTCACTCTGCAGCCAGGTAATAAGTACATCCTGTTATCTAGATGGCTGGTCCACCCTGTCAGAGACTTCATAATGACCAGAGAGGCTAACAACATCCTCTGGGACCCAAAGCATGCTCTGAACAGAGAATCTGAACTGCTACCATCTGATGGACATTGAATAAAGTCAGCCTGAAGCATCCTTTGTGCTCCAGTCAGTCCTCTCCGTAAACACAGAGCTGAATCCAGATCAGATGCACGCTGAAGGCTCTTTGAGCAGCTCTCACTGATCCTGCTGTGATGTGTGTGTTGATGTTTGTCTGTTGGTGTTACACATGGAGCCGCTGTGATGCAAGGAGCATTCAGACTTGATCTGACCATTAAAGTGTTATCGTGTCGTATTGACTCTAATCTGAACGTGTTCACAGTCCAGGTTCTGGCTCAAAATGACTCATAATCAGCTCCTCTGAGGGCAGCGGTCCACGGTGCTGAATGAGAGCAACACACGTGAATGAACATCCTTTCATCTCCCAGTTCTCAGATATATAATAGTCATCCGTAATAATCATCTGGTTCTTCTCTAAGCAGCACAATCACTCCATGATGTGGCACCAAAGTGTACTCTCGCCATTAAGGGTATGTTATACTATACAAATGTTTTGGTACCACTTTATATTAAGGTACACATATTCAACATCATGACCGAAAGAACGAGATCGCGGATACAAGCGGCCGAGATGGGTTTTCTCCACAGGGTGGCTGGTGTCTCCCTTAGGGATAAGGTGAGAAGTTCGGTCATCAGGGAGGGACTCGGAGTTGAGCCGCTCCTCCTTCGCGTCAAAAGGAGCCAGTTGAGGTGGTTCGGGCACCTAGTTAGGATGCCACCTGGGCGCCTCCCTAGGGAGGTGTTCCAGGCACGTCCAGCTGGGAAGAGACCAAGGGGTAGACCTAGGACCAGGTGGAGGGATTATATCTCTTCGCTGGCCTGGGAGCGCCTTGGGATCCCCCAGTCAGAGCTGGTTGATGAGGGAAAAGAAAGTTTGGGGCTCTCTGCTGGAACTGCTACCCCCGAGACCCGACCACGGATAAGCGGGAGAAGATGGATGGATGGATGGATATTCAACATCAACTAGTTGTTAATTAACATGCATGTTAGCAGTATTTTGGCTCTTTATTAGTCATTATAAAACACGTAGTAATGCCTTATTCTGCATGACCATAATCTACAAGTACTAGGCCATTAATTATGAGTCTGTCCTCAATAACCCTCTAATTAGCGCTTATTTATTGTAAGTAAGGGCGTTGTTGTAAATTAGTTTTGGTCTTAATATGCTCTGCTCAATATGGGCCTAATATGGCAGCAATCATTTTCAGTACAACAGAGGATAGGCGAGCAACATGCATGTTAATTAAGAACTAGTTGAGGGTGAATATATGTACCTTAATATGAAGTGTTACCAACATTTAATTTCATTTAGTGACTGGAAATCCTTTGCGTTGTCACTTACTTGGCACCCTGTTGATGGCTTTGAGAGGCCGCAGCACCCTCACTGTCCTGATGGCGGTGAAGTTCAGGTTCTGCAGGTCCAACGAGTACTCGATCATCCTGGAAATACACAAAGCATGCAGAACAACTGGTTAAAAAAGATATATTGAGACTTTAAATGTGTGCGATGGGATGTGAATACATGATATCATGCATCTGTGACCCTACCATCCTTCTCAAGTCTCTTTTCAGTCTTTCAAGTCTCGGTTTTCCTTCAACAGGGTTTAATATACAGATTCATGGCAGCCCAAACAAACCATAATAATTGGACTTGTGTTTGTTTAAAATGAACTAAAGACATGTTCATAAAAGCACCCTGAGGGGTATCGAATGGAATGAGAAGGAAGACCAATGCAAACAAAAAGAACCCATGTGATCACAGAGGAGCGACATCTGAACCTCAGGGTTGTGTTGGTTCCTCCATCTTTGTTCCGAATAATAAGATTAAACAGACACACACACACACACACACACACACACACACACACACACACACCCACACACACACACACACACACACACACACACACACACACACACACACACACACACACACGCACCGCTGAGCAGCCGGCATCCTGCTGTGCCTAATATGAATTAATGAGCTGCTCTTTGTGTGCCTAGGAAAGCAGGACACTCAAAGAAACTGAATCAAACGCCGTGAGACAAAAACATGGATTAGTTTGCAGAAGATCATTAGAAGTATAGGTGCAGGTTACCCATGATGCATTGGCTTTAAAAACAAGGTGTTCTTAGTTGTATGAAGATGTCAAAGTACAGGTAGGTAAAGTAGACTTCCTGCATGCCGGAAATATACTTGAACCTTTTAGCACATGCAGCAAAAGCATGAAAGTGTCTAAACCTGCACCCTGCGAGATGAAAGCAGAGGCAGCAGGGATTGGAGGTGGAGGGAATACACAAGCTTGAAGTAAAACCAGCTGTGGTGTAAAGCAGGCAGAGAAGGGAAGCAGGGAGTCATTATTTTTGCTATTTGACCTATTTTCTGACAAATCCTCAACGCGGGAACTTTGCTCCGAGGATGGTAAAAAAAAGAGAGACGAGGAAAAAAGAGGGGGGGTGACAGGAGACGGAGAAAGCGAGGAAGCGTAGATCAGAAACCAACGGGATGATTAAGTGCAATGGTAATAAAGCGAGATTGAGAGGGGAGATGGATGGTTTCATCAAGTGTCGGAGATAATTACAGCGACGCCGAGACAGAGAGCAATATGCAGATACCTGAGGAGACGAGAGAAAGTTATGAAGACATGAAACAAGTTTGAGATGTTATTCTACTCCAGCTCTCCTTAATAACAAGCTCATTTCAGTAAGAGGTTGCAGAGCCTGCCTACCAGGTGATTTCGTTTAAACCCCCAGCCAATTATTCCCCATCGACCTTTCGACCTACGCATCTGGAGAGGAGTCTTCAGAAGACGTTTTCGACAGCAAAATAAGAGTGAAATAGACAGTAACATAGAACATCCTCCAATTTCCTGCTGTTCCACGAGGAGTTTCAGTTAGAAAGGGGATCCAGCGAGGTTTCAGGGAGAGGAGACGTGGAGCAGCTACGTTACGGTGTCCCTCTTAAGAAATAGAGAAATACCTGTTGAAGATCTGCCAGGAGAGGAGATACAAAGGCACTGCCAACAGCTAAGAATACTCGATTCTAATTGGTCAATTTGGACGTTCTAGAGGTCTGCTATTTTTCGTTGCTACGGAGAATGCTCTGACCAAAGGGACTCTGTGCAGTCAAATCAATCAGCTGTTTAAATCCATCAGAAAACACCATGAGAAAACTAAAGAAACTTCTAAACATTAAAGCACGGAGACATGTCAAAAAAGAACCACAAAAAGTCCAATATGAAACCTGAGAAGGAGCAGAATATGGCCCCTTTAAAATGAATTTCTTGTCTATGCATGTTGGTCTTTTGTCGACACATATAGGCATTTGAAACTGAGCTTCTAACGTTGCTAATATGACTTTTAACAAGTTTACACACACCCCAAAACAGGGCCACATTACTTGAGAACGAAAGAGGATAAATAAATAATTCCAGTGGACTAAATCTCAGAGTGAGCTCACTGGTACTGTAACTGTTCTACAGGTGTGTAGTTCATTGACAGACTCACAAACACTCATGCAACACACCCACACACACACACACACACACACACACACACACACACACACACAGCTGTTAGGAGAGTCTATTATACACACCAGCACACTAACACACACACACACACACACACACACACAAAGCATTACCCCTGATACACCGTAATTGAACACACTGAACTGATGTACATACAGATAACCTCAGTATCACCTAAATACACGTTATCTCTCACACACACACACACACACACACACACACACACACACACACACACACACACACACACACACACACACACACACACACACACACACACACACACAAGATAAAGTGCTTGGGGTAGACTCCAGGCTGGCTCTCACAAAGCAAAGTGTCAAATCAGAGTGCAGAGGCTACACACAAACACAACTGCACACACACTTTCTGTCTTCCTCACAATTACATCCCCAACTCACTCTTGTGTGTGTGTGTGTGTGTGTGTGTGTGTGTGTGTGTGTGTTTGAGTTAGGACTGCTCTCTATTCAAACGGATTACTTTTGTTCCACAGAGAGGTTTTTTAACATCCTTGTGGTCTGTTTTTGTTTCATCGCTCTGGTATCTCCTCTCCTCTGGGAGCTGCTTCGTCTCCACCGTGTATTTGATCCTAAAAAGCACAGCACAAGTTGGTGAATATTCTCCCAGGAACCATCACAAGGGAACATTAGAGGAGTTGTTCTCCAGGTTTTCACGGAGAGCTTTGAATGTTGGAGATAATCTAAGGCTTTGAAACGCTGTACTGGACTCATGGGTACATCTGAGTGAAAACGTCCATTTAGAAAGCCCTTAACTTCCAGTTGTAAATGACCACAGTATATGTTTTGTAATGTTGTTGATCTGTACAAAGATTATTTTACGATGGCTCATACTCAAACAGAAAAGGAAATTGGAAGTTTTACTCATTGAAAGTCAAGTTATGTTTTCTCTTATCAGCTACTTTGCACTTAAGAATCCTGAAGACACCCTATCTGTTTTTAAGAGTGAGCTTAAGACCTTCCTTTTTGATAAAGCTTATAGTTAGGGCTGATTAGATTCAGCCCCTAGTTTTGCTGATATAGGCTTAGTTTGTCGGGGGACATCTTACTTCTTCCTTCTCTCTGTCTATACCTGTGTACTCTCATGTTCCGATTAACCCAGCTTCCCCAAATGTCTTTCTTTTTGGTGTCTATATACGCCGGGATCCGGAGTCATGGATGATCCTGCGCTCCTGTGTCCTGGATCGCGAGCCCTGGATCTTGAGTCGTGGCTGTGGTCCTGGATCATAGGTCCTGGATGGATATCCTCGTGGATTCATCTTCCTATTATACACACATGCATTTCCAAACATTTGGACTACCTATGTTGCAAATGTATTATCTTTTCAATTTACACACGGCATCTATTGCATGTCTGTCCGTCCTGGGAGAGGGATCCCTCCTCTGTTGCTCTCCCTGAGGTTTCTCCATGTTCCCTTTAAACTGTGGGTTTTCTCTGGAAGTTTTTCCATGTACGATGTGAGGGTCTAAGGACAGAGGGTCTAAGGACAGAGGGTCTAAGGACAGAGGGTCTGAGGACAGAGGGTCTGAGGACAGAGGGTTTAAGGACAGAGGGTCTGAGGACAGAGGGTCTGAGGACAGAGGGTCTGAGGACAGAGGGTCTGAGGACAGAGGGTCTGAGGACAGAGGGTCTAAGGATAGAGGGTCTAAGGACAGAGGGTCTGAGGACAGAGGGTCTAAGGACAGAGGGTCTGAGGACAGAGGGTCTAAGGACAGAGGGTCTGAGGACAGAGGGTCTAAGGACAGAGGGTCTAAGGACAGAGGGTCTAAGGACTGTAGAGTTATATTTGTATTTATTCATGTTAGCAAACTATGGATAAGCTTAAAATGGGAATAATTTGGGTAAAACTGTGAGCTGGATTTGGGGCCTGTTGACATGTGTTTTTGAGGACAAAGGAAGATGGGGGAAGGTGAGAGCATGTCCTGATTTGCATTCAACTTAGATCTAGCTACAGTGGTTGTGCTATTAAGAGAGGTCCCTTGGGTTTCTCTGGTGGTTATCAACAGTAGCAGTTAAGTGAATACTGTTCAAACAATACCTGTGTTTGTGTTTATATTGATTTCTCTGTTTTATCCTTTCATAAATGTAAGGACTACAAATGGCTATAAACATTCTGGGCTGGTTGGAGTAAACAGGGTTTTATTGCTCTGTGGGGGAGGTGTAGGTATGCAGGCCTTGAGACCTTTTGTTGGAAAGTGAGCCTGTTTGGTTTCCTGCTGCGTTTCCTGCTGCGTTGCGTCTCCCAATGAGATGACCTGAAAAGATGACCAGCTGACCTAACACCAAACCCCTCCTTCTTACTCTGGTATATCTCCGGTGGATCCCTGGCGTTCGGCCTCTTCTTCACATGCTGCCCTCGGGTGAAAGTAGCTCTGCAGTATGCGAACCAGGGCAGGAGTAAGCCGGTATTACTCCTTAAGCATTACAATATAACTGTAATATATCATGTTGTATTGTAATGATTGTATTGCATTGTCATATTGCCATTAAAGTAGATTATTGTTAACTGTTACTTTGTAGATATGGATTCCTTCCTGTATTATAACCAGCTGGATAGGGACGCGTGGAGATTTGAAAAGCGGACCAGTTATCCCTCCAAATCTCTAACAGGACAGAGGGTCTAAGGACAGAGGGTCTAAGGACAGAGGGTCTGAGGACAGAGGGTCTGAGGACAGAGGGTCTAAGGACAGAGGGTCTAAGGACAGAGGGTCTGAGGACAGAGGGTCTGAGGACAGAGGGTCTGAGGACAGAGGGTCTAAGGACAGAGGGTCTAAGGACAGAGGGTCTGAGGACAGAGGGTCTAAGGACAGAGGGTCTGAGGACAGAGGGTGTCGTATTGTCATACTGATATTCTGTACACACTGTGAAGTC